AAAAAGAAAAAAAAAAAAAAAAAAAAAAAGAAAAAAAAAAAAAAAAAAAAAAAAAAAAAAAAAAAAGAAAGGAAAGGACCAAAAAAGCCTTCGCTAGACGGCAGGTGCAGCGTCGAGGCATATTGGAGCGTCTATAGAGGGTCCATGTTGGCAGCATCCAGAGAAGGTGCTCGAACAGAACAACCTCGCAGCCGACGGTGATCGAATCTTCCTCGACGGAGGATCGCCGGTCGACGAGTTCCCGGAAGAGCGGATTTTCCATGACGGCGGAGGAGATAAAGTAGCGGCGGCGCGACTTTCCGACGTAGACGGGGTGGAGGTCCTGGACGGCGGCGGACGAGTCGTCGAAGATGTCATCGTCGGAGGAATTAATGTTGGCGACGGCGATGGAGCTGGGGTTGGCGGCGCGGCCGAGCTTGAATGACTGCATTTTCTTCAGGACGGACTTGATTTTCGTTAGCTTGCCTCCCTTCGCCATTGTTGATTAATTAGGGATTTAGTTTCTGATTTTGAGAACAGATGATATGGTTTTGGGGGTTTTTATGAGAGGTTTGAGAAATGTGAACGAAGGTTCCTCATATTTATATAAGGGGGTGGGGGTGGGATTTAATTTTTAAAATTTTTCTTTTTCTTTTTTCATTTTAGTAAAAATGTGAAATAATTAATTGAAAAATGACAAAAATATTTTTGAGATGTTATTGCATTAAATGGCTCGAACAAGAGGGACCCAAAGGGTTTTGTTTGGTCTACTCGGAGCCAAAACCATCTACACCTTTGACCATTTCAAGTACGGTGGAGAAGCAACTCAGTATACCGCAAGAGACGATTTAGCGTTTGGAGCAAGTCGATCAGTGTGATTTACGCAGGGGCGGTACATGCAAGGGGGAGGGGGGCTGTTGACCCCAAGAAAAATTTTTTTTTTTTTTTAGGTATTTGGTATTGTATTTTTTGAATATTACTTTTTGCCCCTCAAAGTTTTTGTAAATATGTGTCTTAATCCATTATTTTTTTTGTTTCTTTTTCATAATCTTATATAAATTATAGATAAATATATCATATTTAATATAAAATATAAAATATAAAATAAGATGCTTAAAACTTGTATTATTTTAAATAAAATTTATGAATATTACTTATTTTTGAATTTTTTTTATCAATGCCTTGAGATCGTGCCATGAATCCCCGAAATATTAAGTGCAATACATTATTAGAATAATTTAAATTAGTTTATAATTTTGTGTGATGATTAAAATATGATATAATTATAATATATATGATATTTTAATTAAAAATTAGTAATATAAACTTATTTTTACAATGTTTTGTGAACCTAAATTTTTTGCGGGGCGCTGCCCCGAACTCCAAAATTTTAGTTTGCCCCCCCTACATTTTCATCCTGGTTCCGCCCCTGGATTTACGTGTCTCGCATAATTTACAAATTAGTATACGAGAGTGTATAAAAAAAAATTTAACTAACTCATTCAATTTGCTCTATAATTTAATGAAAAAATGGTTAATATATTAGGATTGAGAATCGAGTAACAACCGAAGACGATTACTTTTACAAACTAACCAAATTAATTATATAAATTTCGTAGCATTTGACCTAACTAGATAAGTTTTAATCACGAATTTTTCTCTACAACTAAATTAAGACCAACATTGTTAGTGAAAGCGACACCCATGTGCGGCAAGTTTGTCAAGTTCTTAAGCTAATTAATTAATCTCTTATCTTCAAATTTTAATATTATTATTTTTTTTAATTGCACAAAGGGGACTTCCATAAATTGAAAATTATGTATCTACCCTCTCATTCTATATCTTAAGCATCTAGCACCAACAGACGGTAACCACCAATTTTCCCTCCTTTTTTTTTCTTTTTTTTTTTTTTTTTTTTGTTACTGGCACATAAAATAGTCATAATTTAGTGATTGTTAAGTCATTTTCTTAATTATTAGAGGGGCTGTTAATGCGATTATACAAATTATTTTTCAAATCGCTATATAAAATAAAGAGAATTTGAAAAATGGGGGACATGACCCCCTTGGCACTATGTTAACATCAAATGGTGTCTTTAATAATCTAAGATAATACATTTGATGCATTTTATGTATTTATCTTGTATAATTAATCCACCAATTATTCTTTTTTTCGTCGTAAATTTGTTGACACGTATACACTATTACAAATTATTAGAATCCTTGGTGATATTAGGTAGGTAGAATTGAGAAAGTAGGGACAAATTACCCCGCCCCCATATGCAAAGTAGGGACAAATTAAAGGACAAACATGCAAAGTAGGAGTAAATTGGATTTTAGGGACACAAACAAGACTTTCTTATCTCTTATTCTGCACAACTTGAATTAGCTGCATGGGGACTTTTTTTTTTTTTTTTTTTTAATGAGAACATAAAATTTGTAAATTAAATTGCACAAGCAATAATAAATATGAGTACTGCACAATGGGTGGCGTAGTTGGTGGAGTAAAGAAAACGTGTCGCCGAGCGATCAAATTAAATTTCCACTGTCGAGATTTATACCACCAAAAAATACATCCTCATATATATAAACTCAGATTCTTTGCTTTGTTCAGTGAACATGTGCCATACTCTTCTTAAGATTAAAACAAATTTCAAGACCTAATTTCAGAGATGCCTTCTCACGACACGATTCAATAATATAAGTTAATTAAATAAAATTACTATTAATTAGGATTTAGGAGTAGTATATATGTTATTGACCAGATTGAGTTAACCACTCTCACTAATCCACACTTAACGAAAACGTCCAAAACATGATTATGCTTGTTTACATTAATTTCCGCGCTAATCGGCGCCTTTTGTCCCAAAGAAAATGCGATTAAAGTATAGTAATTATAATACTAATAGCAAACTTTAGTCCATATATAATTCATTAGCTGGCATAAATTTTGAAAAAGTTTGTGGACAATCTCATAAAAAATACTGTACAGTTAAATTTCTATAAATTAATACAGTCGAGATCAACTAAATACTATTAATTTAACCGCATACTTTTCAACACGTTATTCTACAAGTTGGGATTCTGAAAACATATTATTTAAACAAGGTTATTAATTTTTGAGATTGTAGTGTAATATTACTATGGACAAATTTAATTTAACTATGAATTTATATCTGTGCTGTAGACTTTGTCAGTATTAATATATATATATATATATATATATATATATATATATATGCTTGAACCTTATGGTTTTTTATTGTGATATGATCAATCAAATCATATATATATATATATATATATATATATATATATATATATATATATATATATATATATATATATATATATATATATATATATATATATATATATATATATATATATATATATATATATATATATATATATATATATATATATATATATATATATATATATATATATATATATATATATATATATATATATATATATATATATATATATATGTATATATATATATATATCTCTCTATATATAAATATATATATATA